CATGATTATATCCATAACAATTTCACCAAGTTTTATCCGGTATTATTCTTTATCTTCTCAAAATGTCGGTAACAGAGAGAGAGAAAAATGATGTCGTCAACGATTTAGTGTTTATCGGCAAGATAAAAGTTACACTGTTAAAAATTAAATCATTCATATAAGATGATAGACACTCAATTAATTACAACATACATAAGCTTCATTTCTTAAACAGAAAATGAAAGAACAATGACGTATGAGGATGTGAAGATAGTTAAAATCCAACCACGTAAAGAGGGTATTTCAAAAATAAAGATCAAATTAGTCTTTTCTAATGAATATGTTCTTTTAAAAGATTAGACAGCAGAACAAGATTGAAAATAAAGTGAAGAATTTATTTTCTATGTAAAATGCATAGTATGATCTCTCAATAAATAGGAAATTTTTTATGTTTACCACTTTTTGATACCATTATTCATGTTTATCATCACTAAAGAAACATTTTAAAAAATACATTCTTTATTAAGTGGAAAAAACAATAAAATAAATATCCTTGTTGTATATATATATAAAATAAATAATTATTTAAATAAATAAAAATAAAAAACAATTTTATTTATGTTTCCGAATTATACTATTCAAATTCAATTTTTATAGTTTTTTATAATTTAAAAAAAATATTTTACGAATTTTTTTTTTCAAAATTACTTTTTGAAAATAAAAAAATTATATTTGAAACTATTTTTTTTTAAACTGTATTTATATTTTTTTAAGTTTTTATTTATATATTTATTAGAATTCTAAATTTCACATTCTAAAAACATACCCCACCCCTCAGCTCTAAACCATAAGTCTAGATTAGTTAATACTAGGTTATAAATATCTTTTACTCTTTATTAAAAGTGAGGATAAAAATGGTTAGTGTAAACAGAAAAGTGGTACTATGAATATAGTATTTTTGGCAATTTCCCCTATAAATAGTACATAATGGATGTTTTCTTGCATTTACATTAGGTAAGTAATAAAGAGAAACATCATATAAAAATAGTGTTGAGCTGATAGTGAAATAATAGATAGATAGTATATAAACACGATAAATAGTATAATAATTAACTTTACCTCAAACTCCAATCTCAACCCCTAAATACGAAACACTAATTTAGGTTCTTAATGATATTTTAGTAATTAATATAGTTAAGAACTTGTACTCAAGAGACACTTATATTTTTAGCTCCAATGGTAGGTTTTTAATTTGGGGTAAACAAAAAAAAAATTATTAAACTAAAATTTTGTAAAGATAAAATTTATTTATTAAATAAATATATTAAAAGAAAACATTTAAACTTTAAAAAAAGAACATTAAAACAAAGATTAGTAAAAAAAAGGGGAATAATTAGAAAGAAACATCTGAGCTCAATTGTTGTCCAGACCACGTCCGAATTTACCCCATACATGTTCAATCAAATCAGCTTTTAGTTGTTGATGCATTTGTTTATCACGAATTCTAGTTCGAGCATCCCTCATATTGGCAATATTTGTAGGGATATCAGTAGAAAACGTGAGATCGATATGTGAACTTGCGGTGTCTTCTCTTTGTTGGAACTCTTAAACATCATATTGAGTGTATCCATCTTGTTCGTCTTCTACTATCATTTTATGGAGTATGATACATGCTCTTATAATCTTCCCAATTTTAATTTTATCCCAAAAAAGTGCTGGATTTTTAACAATGGCAAAGCGAGCCTGCAAGATTCCAAAGCACGCTCGACATCTTTTCGGACAGCTTCTTGATGTTGAGCAAATAAAACCGCTTACGGCTCGACATCTTTACGGCCCTTGTGGTATTGAAATTGATTAGATAAAATTTGTCCATTTTGGATAAATACCGTCGGGAAGATAGTAAGTCATATGATACTCATTTCCATTGGCAGAGAAGGTGACTTACGGCGCTTGACCTTTTATTATATCATGAAAAACAGGTGAGCGATCAAAAACATTGATATCATTTAAGGTACCTGAAGGTCCAAAAATGTATGCCATATCCATAGATCATACGATGCAACCGCCTCTAAATCGATTGTGGGTTTTCCCGAACCACGTGAATATTGACCTTTCCAGGCGGTGGGACAATTCTTCCACTCCCAATGCATACAATCGTTGCTTTCTATCTTCCCGGGAAATCCACGATGCTCACCAATATCATGTAGACGTTGAAGATCAGCTGGTGTTAGTCTTCTTAGGTACTCTTTGTCGAATAAATATATTATGCTTTCCACAATATGTTCCACACATGACCGTGTAGTAGTTTCACTGAGTCGGAGGTATTCGTCAACAGCATCAGCCGCAGTACCATATGCCAAGACACGAATGGCCGCTGTACACTTCTGAAGTAGAGAGAGACTAAGCCTTCCGAGCATTTGTCTTTTGTTGAAAGAATTCAATTTCATTGGAGAGTCGATCAACAATATGCATGAACAATGGCCTGTTCATTCTAAATCGTCGTTGGAACAAATTTTCAGGATACCTTGGAGTTTCACTGAAATAATTATTCCATAAACGAATATGCCTTTCTTCACGATTTCTTTCTATATAAGCTCGTTTTTTTCTTTGTTTCCTAGCTTCTTCTTGATGACCATAATTTATGGTAAGATTCTCGAAAGTTTGATCAAAATATTGATCAAATTGTTAATCAAACTATTAATCAAACGTTTCATCAAAATTTTCATCATCCAATCCGTCAAAAGGATATTGAGAAAGAATATGCCATATGGAAAAGAAAAACTATTTTTTTTTATTAAGGAGAGTACATGAAAATAGAGAAGGAGACAATTATGGCTAATGTTTTAATTCATCAAATGTTTGTTGAATCCAAACTGAAAATAAAGAAGGAGAGAACAAGAGTTGTGTTTCTTGAATGAGAGAAGAAGAGAAGAAGAGTGTTGTGTTGTAGAATCAAATTCCTTAATTTTTAGAATAAGAGAACCAATAATAAGTGTTCCAAAAAAAAAAAAAAGAGAACCAATAATACAAACATAAAGAGTCTCGTGACTCTCTTCAGTAAACATTCGAAGATTCTAATTTACAAAACAAAGAGAACCAATAAAACAAGACAAGACTCTCCAGAAAATAATACAAATGTAGTCTTGTGACTACACAAACATACAAGAGTCTCGTGATTCTTGTATCTGAAACATTGAAAGTCTGATGACTACAGAACATACATGATCATGGATCATGTCCGTGACCTGCAAATTATTAAACAGAACAACACAAATTATTAAACATCCATGTCCCTGACCTCCTCTCTCAGCTTCTTATCTTCCTCTTCTTACCATACTTAGAGGATTGTCCTTCTTCTAGCTTGATTTTCGACTTCAATACCTTGAACTTCTCCTCTCTTCCTCATGCATCCTTTGCAGCAGCTTTCTGAACTCAAGTTCATTGTCATCTTCTAATTCCTCCACCCTAATTAAGTAACCCATATTTCTCCTGTAATCTTCGCTTGATAACTCCACCATATCATCTTCTTCTTCATCTTCTTCGCTTATATTACACATCAACAACTATTTCAAAGCAAGATTGATAACATTGATCAGAAATACTACTTATAGTACACATGAACTATTTATATTACACATCAACTACTTATATTACACATCAACACAAAGAAGATTACATTGAAAACATTTCAGTTATCAGTTTGTTCTTAAGCGCCACTAAGTGGCTCTGTTTTTGCAAGCAAACTTTCAAGCAGTTTGGTCTTGCTAAGATTCTCCTTCAAAGCTAAGTCCTTGGCCTTCATCTCCACATTTCCTTAAGCTCTTGCAGATTCTTCACTTCTTCTCCCACTGGCCTTTTAGCCTTCACCTTTGAAGCCTAACACCAGTAGGCCTAGCCATTGCTTCATCCTCTCCATTAACACTGGGCAAAGATGCTAATGACTGAAAAGATTGTTCTTCCCCTACCCTCTTTCTTTTCGAACCTGAGCTTTGTTGACTACTTCCATGAGTCCCATACCATTTCTGATCATTCATAAGCTCCCTCCAGGCATGTTCCACTGAGAACTTCAACTTGTAATCGTTGAAGAATATCTCATGTGCAGCCTTCAAAACGTCATCTTTATTCTGCCACTGGTCCTTTGTTTTGTTGCAGCGTCAAATGACACCACAAATTTGCAGACACCTAAATTTATCTTCCCCCACCTCTGCTTACAGTGGGTCTGCTCTCTTGGAGCCAAACCAACCACCGTAGGACTTACGTTATAATAAGCGGCAATCATCTTCCAAAAGGTTCCTGCCCTTTGCTCATTTCCAACTAGTGGATCCTTGGAGGTGTTCAACTATGCACTGATGAGGACCAGGTCTTCAGCTGTTGACCACTTGCACCTTTGATTACGGCCCTCACCAGTTTTTGCATGTGAAGCAGATCCTCTAAGGTCTTGACTAGGTGAAACACCTTTTTTACTAATCTTTGTGTAATGTTCTTTCTAATCATTCCCTTTTTTACTAATCTTTGTGTAATGTTCTTTTTAAAAATTAATGTTTAAAATGTTTTCTTTTAAAATAAATAAATTTTATCTTTACAAAATTTTAGTTTAATATTTTTTTTTCTTAAGAGCCCATAATTAAAAACCTACCATTGGAACTAAAAATATAAGTGTCTCTGAGTACAAGTTCTTAACTATATTAATTACTAAAATATCATTAAGAACCTAAATTAGACTGTTAGGGTTAATGCTGCTCTAAGAACCGTCTTTTAGACAAAAAATGTAAAAACTAAAAAACAAAAGAAATGTCAAATCATAAGTTAAAAACTCCGGTTAATAGACCGAGGTTAATCAAGCGCTAAGGTCAATGTTTTTTTTCATTAAACTGTAGGCACGGCTCATATAGACACACACATATATTTTGATATATATATATATATGGTGTATATAGATCAGAGAAGGTCAACGCATGCGTACATATACATGTTTTCCTTTAGGAAATGGATGCGCTTAGGAAAGAAATGGATGTAGTAAGTTCAAAAGTGAAGAAGAAACTCATGTCTTTTTGAGGGATCGACTCGACAAAGAAGAGATTAATGAGACTCTACAAGAGGGCTTCGAAAAGATAGAGGATATGATGTATGGTGAAGATGATTTGTACACAGTGTCCATCATCTTTTGGGTTCTCAGGAGATACGTACGGTCACAACTTATCTTCCGGTAAGAAGTCCCTAAATAGGTTGGTCATATTCATACAAGTTTTTGTTGTCTCTTACTATTATGTTTGACATCTTTATCCATCTTGTTCAATAGATATTTTCAGAAGGTTCAAAATGAACAATGGAAGTTTCAAAGACTCTCTAACGGGAGATGCCTAGGGTCTGATGAGATTGTATGAAGCTGCGCATTTGAGGATGAGGAAAGATTATATACTGGACGAGGGATTGATGTTTTCATCTCGCCATTTGAAGTCAATAGCTGCATGTGGTACGTGTCCGCCTCATTTCTCAGTGTGTTCACATGCAAAGTGCTATTATTCTATCTCAACATTGGAACAAGGAGATTTTAGTTCCACTGGAGTATATCCCATTCTATGAACAAGAAAAGGGACCATGGTGAGATGCTACTCTTTTTCTTTTTTTTTTTTTCTTTTGAAAGAATTTTAAATTTATTCAAATAGTATCTACAGTATCTAAAGACTTTTCAAGCTGAAAAAAATTGCACTATGGCTGTCAAGATGGATATGTCAAAGGCTAATGATCGTCTAGAGTGGGATTTTGTATCTCAGGTTATGAATGTCCATGATTTTGATAATAAGTGGATAAACTAGATTATGCAATGCATCACAACCGTGTCCTACTCTTTCCTAATCATTGATTTTATCTATGGAAAGTTCAACCTCACCGTGGCATTAGAAACAAGGAGATCCTATCTCACCTTACTTGTTCATCCTCTGTGGAGAGGTTCTTTCCGGTCTGTGTAGAATAGCCGAGCAGAATGGATCAATGAGAGGCATCCGAGTGGCCAGAGGCTGCCCTCGTGTAAATCATCTGCTATTTGCAGACAACGCAATGATGTTCTGCAACTCATCACCTGAATGCTGTCTCACACTGCTCCATATCCTGCAAAATTATGAAAAGGTTTCAGAGCAAAAGGTCAATATCTCTAAATCCTCCATAAATTTCTCTGTCAAAAATCCCCAAGAGATGAGAAACACAGCAAAAGACATTCTAGGAATTCAAAAAGAGGGAGGAGTGGGCAAATATTTGGGACTCCCAGAACATTTTGGAGAAAAGAAAAAATATTTATTACCTCGATAGTTGACAGAATCAAACAGAGGGCTTCCAACTAGTCAACACGCTTCCTGTCTCGTGCTGGCAAGCTCACCATGCTCAAGGATGTCCTTACGGCAATCCCTACATATGCCATGCCGTGCTTCCAGCTCCCAGTGAGCCTATGCAACAGAATTCATTCTTCCTTTACACGGTTCTGGTGGGACAAATCATCTGAAAAGAAAAGTATGTGTTGGGTAGCTTGGGCAAAGCTTACCAAACCAAAAGCAAGTGGAGGCTTCGGCCTACGGGATATTGTTGCAGCACCGTAATGGGACAACACGAAGAAGACAATCAACACAAGATGAGTTCTTCGACGGCTCTGTTTCAAACGTTCGAGATTGTAACAGTAGACGATTTGCGATGAGAAGAAAGTCTCAAGAACTTTTATTAAATCAAAAACTGCCTATAGAAGAACACAAACGTTCTCTATATATATTAGTCTAAAAATAACACCAAAAAGGAAACATAAATTATCTGAACAAAAGAATTAAAGAGATTGGAATATTACTCCAAGTCTTTTGGTAACAATAAAAGTAAATAAGCAAACACCGACCAAAACGTAACTTGTAATCCAAGCAAAGATATGCTACATCAGGTCTCCCCAGCTAAAGAAAAATTCGACCTCGAATTTGTTGTGTCATCAGGATCAAGAAACCGAGTGAGATGCTTCACATTGAAAACATCAGCAGTCTTCATACCTGGAGGAAGTCGCAGACGATACGCATTATCGTTAATCTTTTCAACAATCTCCAAAGGACCAATCTTCCGTGGCTTCAACTTGTTATACTGGCCAGGCGGAAAGCGCTCCTTGGTAAGCACGGCTCAGACTTTATCACCCACTTGAAATTGCATTTCACGACGATGCGCATCGACTGCAGTCTTGTATTTAGATGTAGCAGCTTCTAAATTAGCACGAACTGTATTATGAAGCTCCACAAATGCATCAACCACGTCACAAGCTTGACCATGGAACTATGTTCTATCAGGCGCAAGAGTGAGATCCAAAGGGCCACGGGGTACATTACCAAAGATAACACGAAAAGGACTGAATCCAGTACTACGATTAGTAGCATGATTGTGAGCAAATTTGGCTTAGCACAGAACAAAATCCCAGGTCTTAATGTTGTCCCCTACCAAACACCGCAATAAATCTCCGAGAGCTATGTTAGTAACCTCTGTCTGACCGTCTGTTTGAGGATGATATGCTGAACTCATATCCAAACTTGTTCGTAACAACTTCCATAGTGATCGCCAGAATTGACTCAAAAAGCGTGAATCACGATCATAAACTATTGATTGTGGTAAGCCATGGAGCTTATAAATTTCCGTTGTCTTTTTACAAGCTATGAAACGAGCCATCTTTGAAACCCAATCCACCACTACCATAATAGAATCATGACCCCTCTGAGTTCTTGGTAAGCCGAGAACAAAATCAATACTAATATCAGACCAAGGTTGAGTAGGTATTGGTAACGGAAGATATAAACCTGCGTTAGATGCATGACCTTAAGCTGCCTGACAAACACCGCAACGCATGACATAGCGTTCCACATCTCTGCGTAAGGAGGGCCAAAAATAATCTGCCGTAACCAAATGGAGAGTTCTATCACGCCCAACAGGACCCTCACCATGAAACTCCTTAATGATTTGTAAACAAAGGCTACATTCCGGAATACACAAGCAGATATCTCGAAACAAAAATCCCTCCAAAACATAGTAATCAGAGGCCAGCAAGTACATCATTCCAAAACTTACCAAAGAACACATCTGTTGAGTACAAATCGGGGAGTAATGAGAATCCCGGGACATAAGTAAGCAACGATGTAAGAAGCGTTTGAAGACGACTAAGCGCGTCTGCAACTTTATTAAGCACCCCCGCCTTATGTTTTATAACGAAGGTGAACTGTTGTAGATAAGCAAACCAAGATGCATGTCGCGCAGAGACTTTTTCCTGAGATCCCATATGTTTCAGTGCGTCATGGTCTGTGAATAAAACGAACTCACGGTGGAAAAGATAGTGTCTCCAATGTTTGACCGCTTGTATGACTGCATAGAGTTCAACATCGTATGTACTGTATCGCCCTCGTGCACCTTCAATTTTTTTCACTAAAGAACGCGATTGGTTTGCCTTGCTGACTTAAGACAGCGCCAATACCATTCTTTGAAGCATCTGAATGTAATTCAAAAGGAACCGAGAAGTTAGGTAACGCCAAGACCGGAGCCGTAGTTAACTTTTGTTTAATAAGTTGAAAAGCTGCTTCTGCCTCGGCTGTCCATACAAACTGCGGCCTCTTGATCCAATCTGTGACCGGTACCATGATGCTGCTAAAGTGAGACACAAATTTTCAATAGAAAGAAGCTAAGCCATGAAAGCTGCGAAATTCCATTATAGTCTTTGGTGAAGGCCACTTACGAATGGAGTCAACCTTAGATGTGTCGACCTCTAATACTCGTTCAGAGATAATATATCCCAAGAATAATACTTCGGAGACACCAAACGAACATTCTTGGTGGCTGCAAACAGCTTTTCTCGACGAAGAACAAGCAAAACAGCTCGCAAATGATCAAGATGCTTTGCAAGAGATGTAGTAAAAATCAAAATATCGTCAAAATAGACGACCACAAATCGTCCAAATAATGGACGAAGTGCCTGATTCATAACATGCATGAATGGGCTTGGTGCATTAGATAACCCAAAAGGCATTACTAGCCACTCAAAGAGCCCTTCTCGTGTTTTAATAGCTGTTTTCCATTCATCGCCAGGGCGAATTCGGATCTGATGGTACCCAGTCTTAAGGTCAAGCTTAGTAAATATAGATGCAGAACCAATCTGATCGAGGAGATCATCTAGTCGTGGAATTGGGAAGCGATACCGAATGGTAATTTTGTTTATTGCTCTGCTGTCTACACGCATGCGCCACGATCCATCTTTTTTTAGAATAAGTAATGTCGGCACTGCACAAGGGCTAAGACTCTCTCGAACATATCCCTTTTCAAGTAAATATTCCACTTGTCTACGCAGTTCATCATGCTCTTGAGGACTCATTCTATAATGAGGGCGATTAGGAAGTGGAGAATTGGGAGCTAAATCGATGCAGTGCTGGATGTCACGCAGAGGCGGTAAACCCGTAGGAAGATCTGTCGAAAACACATCCAAGAATTCCTGAATTAACGGGTCAAAGTCTGGTGGAACAGTGAACGTGTTTAAAGTTGACGAATGTGAGGACATGAGTATGTAAAAGACGTCCGCTGCTCGGAGTTCTTGTTCAAACGGTCCCTGAGATAGAGTAAGAACTGGACGAGAAGTCCTTGAAGTACTTGGCTGGATGGACGGAGTCGTAGGAGCTTCGTGAGTTGGGACGAGTGTTATCCTTTCATCCTCAAAGGTAAAAGCATATGTATTAGCATAACTGTCGTGTATAGTTTGCGATCAAATTTCCATGGACGCCCAAGTAAAAGATGACAAGCATCAATTGGAACAACATCACAATAGACTAAATCTCGATAGCTTGAGCCGATCGAGAAAGGGACTTTGAAACGCTTAGTTATACGAATGTATGTTTCTGCGTTTAACCAAGCCAACTTATATGGTGTAGGATGTGGTTCGGAAAACAAAGAAAGTTTAGCCACAGCTTCCTCAGATATCACATTACTGCAGCTTCCAGAGTCAATCATGAACCTACACACCTTACCATGGATAGTGCACGATGACCGGAAAATATTAGTGTGCAACCAAGATTCTTCTATCCCCTGTCCACTGAGAAAATTTTGGCGAATCACCAAGAGTTGACCCGTGTCTCTGCCTACTTGCTCCTCTGTTAAATCATGGAGGTCTGTGATCTGTTCTTCAACATCGTCGTAAGCTACTTCCTCATTCGACAAAAACACTCGCCTAGGACAATTATTTTGGTGATGACCAGTCTCTCCACAATTAAAGCACTTGAAAGATGACGTTTTAAGTGGTTGCTGACCTCCTGCATTATTTCCTTGACCAGTCTGATGTTGTTGGCCATCCTTTGTATCCATAGCCGACGAATTAGCCT